GCGTCCGTGACGCCCGAGCGTCCGTGACGCCCGAGCGTCACTCTCTTTTTTTTCAATACCCCTCACATAAGAAGTTTAACTTCAAAAAAAATAGAAAACATTTTTTTATTGATTTTTCGCCAAACAAATAAAAATTACGCAAGTGGAATTTTATGTTATATAATATTTAAAAACTTCATTTTTTAAGGATTGTGTCAGGCAAATGCCACACATTACTACTATACATTTATCATTACTTTTGTAATACATTTACCGCCAACGCACACGCTGTTCACTCGACCAATGCTCCAAGATCACTAAGTTCAGGGTATTTAAAAGCGATAAGAATATTCCCGAAATCTCCATCACTTTAGCCACGCCCACCAGTTCATTTTAAATCTTTGGGTTTGACTGCCGCACCCTGTAGTTATTGAAAAGAAAAAAATCAACTAACCCGAATTACATAATATATGGTTCACAATTGGCGGTTACGCTACTGTGTAATATATTTTATGAATAACTGCAATTTGTGAATAATCTACAATCTACATAATATTTGCCACATGTATTTCTATGTAGGTGGTCATCCGTTATTTGTTAATATTTACTATTCAACTATCTGTCGAATGCAAATGTCTTACTGAATATAAAACACTCGAATAATGCATTCATTCCTCCGCCGTTGGAATCATATAGGTACCTATATGCAAATAGCTGATAGTCTCTAATTTTTCTCTTTTCTCTTTTACTTTTACGTATTGGCATTGCCTCCGAGTGTGTAATGCCATCCATCGCCTTCGTATCTCCAATCGGCTTACCCGCATGTTGGGATATAGTTTTGAAGGTTTTTCTGCGGATTGTGATCGAGTCGTCCGTTGGAGGTACATATAGATCAATAGATGTTTATTAGACCAACTTACTGCACAAGTACAGAAAACTAAATTCGCTTTTGAAGCGAAAAACTGCTGAGCCAATACTCAATAGTGTAGTGATGGGTAAAGCTGAAATTCGCTAAGGCGCGTAGGTATAGGCAAGAAAATAAAGCTATAATACAAAGGACAGTGCTGAAATGCAAAATTTTCGAACCGTAACGCTACGCCCAAATTTTGTAGTGGGTGGGGTCAGTTAGAGAGAGTTTTGTTTGCTCATTATAGCAAACATTTGTTTTAACGAAGTATACTTGCCGATACTTTATTATCTGTTTATATGTAATATTTACACTATTTATGTGCAATTAGTCAATGTGATTTTTATGGTTCATAACTTGCAAACCTTTGCACAATTACACCAGAATAATTTATTTGGGTTTCAGATTCTGATTTCTGGGTATGCTGGATGTATTCGGGTGTTCGAACACCGGAATAAAAAATTCAAACAAACGTTTGGGTTCTAATAACCGTTATTATTTGGGTGTATATTGGTGAACACCTACAGCTGTTTATAGTAGTCCAGAAAAAAACATGATTTTTTATAGTTATTTTATTAGGTATATTTTTAATAATGTTTTATTGTTTCAAATATAAATTATATATTACAGTAAATCAGTGTTATACTAGTATTTGGTTGCTGTCAATACATATAGGTATAGTTAGTTTTTGACACCAGACCAGACCCTACCATACACGTCAACTCGTCAATATTGACATTTTATGTCTTTGCTTTGGCACATAGAATCGAAATCGAAAAACGTTACGTTACGAAAAAAATTGCAAAATATAATTTTTCTAATCCTCTATTCGAACTTGATATACGCGCTTATCACACGATAGTTAGGTGATAGATATATGATAGCAAGGACAACAAAGACATAAATTGTGATACTTCATTGCAGACTCGTATGCACTATGCAATATGATTTTTATATGAATATCAGAATAAATTATATAATAATAGACTGTAAGATCGTCTCCCCTCAGTTTTGTTTAACGTTAAATACCTACCTAAAAATGTTTCTCAACCCATTCTATCGAACTCTTAGAGCTTCATTATAAATATTATTTTATTTTTTTATATTGCTATTGGCTATTTGGATTTATTCTATGCTAATAAAGTAATAAATGAATGTTTTATTAGTGTTTTAAAAAAAAAAAAAACCATGTGTGTTACCAGTACGCGCGCGGGAAGTTAAACTTCTTTTGAATGGTACACGTGAGTGAGTGAAAAAGAAAGAAAAAATATTAATTAATTTAAAAAATGAGAAGAAGTATCCGGAATTATTTATTATTGATAGTTTTATTATTTTTTTTATATTTTTATTCGACAGATCGATGGATAATTGTTTGTAGTATTGTTTTTATCCAGACAATAGATTTGTGAGTGAATACTAATAATAATATTAAAAATAAATAATATTAAAAATAATACCTACTACCTACCTTTATAATATTATGTGTAGGTACTTAATTTATACTTTTAGACCAATGGACCAAAATATTTACTAATATCAGTATTAATTCATGTCCATAAAATACATTAGTCATATTATGTAGGTACATAATATATATATATCAATTTGTTATTCATAAATTATTACATTTGATATTAAATAAATAAATATACTTGATAGACCATAGACATATATATTGAGTAATATCAAATTATGTCATATCATTATACAATTGAACCATCAGAGTATTATATACTATTTGAAAAATATAGGTGCGTTGGTCATTGTAAATGTGTCAAATATTAACTAAATATTAATTATTATTATTATTATTATTTATTAAATACTTATAGTATAGTCATATAATATGATGAAATTCATCGAGTTATATTTTGAATATACATAATTTGACTCACCTAAAAATAGTATATTATATTATATTATATTATATTATCGCGCACTCTGGAATATTTATTATATATGCGTTTTCGCTTTTATCAACTTGACTACGGAATATTGTTTATACCATGATAAAATAACATGGTATGCTGGCAACTTTATGATACGCATACCCCTTACCCCGCCGACCATCATACAGAGCTGTATCCAGTTCGCCGCTTTTCATTGGTTTTCATGATCAATATATATACATAGTGCATTATGAGGAGAACTGGATACAATGAAATGCGCAAACTCCGACGATATTCAGTTCGTTGCCATCATACCATGTTATTTTATCATGGTTTATACGTTTATACTGGTTTGTTTATAATATCATATGATATGTTTCCAAAAAGATTACAAAATATTGAAACGGAAAATATCAAAAACTTTATAAACAAAACATCGTACCGTTTTCGTGACGCGCGAGCGTCCGTGACGCGCGAGCGTCCGTGACGCCCGAGCGTCCGTGACGCCCGAGCGTCCGTGACGCCCGAGCGTCACTCTCTTTTTTTTCAATACCCCTCACATAAGAAGTTTAACTTCAAAAAATCATACGAGCTATAGATTATCAGGGGTGTTAAAGGTTCCTGTTAATTGTGGCGCAAGGCCTTGTTGCTAACAAAATATATATTGACAAAATATTTTTATCTCAGAGGTTTCCAAACTTTTTTTTGGCGTTCCACTCATGTGTATTAAGTACAATTATGTACCACTAACGACTAAAAATGGGACTATTCAAAATGTCAATACATTTATAGCAATAATAATTTACAAAAATAATTATTTTCGTAGATTTAACAGTATAATATATAGTAGCTATTGACAAAAAGCACAAAATATTATTAAATACGTTACAAACATTAGTGAAAATATTAATCGATTAATATACTACCACTACACGGTCTTACACGTAACCACCAGTGATACACAAGCTACACATACCACATTTTGATAACAGCGGGGCTACCTTCTTAAATAAAATAAGACAATAATATAACAATTTTATGTTGTTATAGAAATCATTAATTTTAAGATTGTAAAAGCGTTGTTTACTTTTAAAACTTATTATAATCATAAAACCAGAATAGTTGTTAAACATTAAATAAAAAATGTATAAATAAACTCAAAAATCCTAATAATGCCTTATAAAATGTTATAATAATTTTTACAGTGCCTTGTATTATTTGTATTTCTTTACATTGACTACTCGGCAATGTCATCAGGTGAATGCTAAAATGCTAACCACAGACAAACATAATTTTTGTATTGAAATTCTCATGAGTAGGTGCCAGGTGGACTAACATAATTTTTTGATAAAAGTTAACAAATCGTATTAATAATTAATAAAACTTTTATTATTGACCTAAGATTTCACTCACATTTAGGAACTTTTCGAAATGGGGATTGTATCTAATTAGCTTTCTAAAGGGGTTCTAAATCGTCACGATTATTTTCAGGATACCAAATACGTGTACAATTATATCTAGAAAAAAATCAAATACCCTATATTTAGGGTATTTTCTTTTTTTTATAATTAGCCTAATTGTTTTCTTCAATTTGGAAAACGTAGGTATGTTGTGTGTGCAAAAATATTAAATAACAATATTAAAATAATACTACATAGTTACTATAGGTAATAAATATTTTTATACATTAAGTTTAATTTTTTAATAATATTTTTCGCAAAAACCGTGTGATGTCAGGGACTTGATTACGGCATGTTTCCAAAGTGTATGAGATGCAGAAAAATATTTAACATTTAATAAAGGAAAGCATCAAGTGTAAAAACAAAAAAAAATATTGTTGTGTGTTCAAAATTGTATAATAATAATAATAATTTGTTTTGTCCCTCTCTTTATTCATACAACATTTTGATCGACAATAAAGTAAATAATAAAAAAAAAATATACATAAATAGATTACGTCATTATAGTTGTTGGTATCATAACTCATAAACAAGTAGGTATAGCAATAATAATAAAAATAATAATAATAATAATACAAATACAAATTAACAATATATTGGATGCAATATGCATCTTAATAAAATGTACAGTATAAAATCTCGGGTTTTTCAACATATCAAAACAAAACAATAATAAAAAAATTATATAGTGGATTTTTGGTTTTACACTCTCTACTGATCACACAGAAATAAATTCAAGTAAATCAACTCAAACGACATATCATGTCAGTCATATGTGTGTGTCATGCCGTTTCTGTGATCACATTTTACGAACCACTGAGCGTTCGGGTTCACTTGGTATACGGCCATCATGTTGGCGGTGGGTTCTATGCGCCGCTGACCTGTGCGCAACCGTAAAAAAATTCACATGAGTACATTATGTTGCCGCCATATTATAATACAATACAAATGGACAGATTATTGATATGAAAGGTTGTTTAAAATTTGAGTTCTGGCGAATTCAGTGGTTAACGTGAAACTCCGGTGGAAAAATTAATACTTTTATTGAATATATTTTAAAGGTTATATTTTCAGTCCGATGGTTTTCAAGTCTTTGAAAAAACTTTACAATTTTAAAATCAGTTAGTTCTTTTCACTAACAATAAGTAGAGCAAATTGTCGTATGTATGAAGATTAAATAGTATTATATTTTATAAAAATGTAAAAGAATAATTAATTAATTCACAGCTGATTTCAGATCTAAAGTAGATAAAAAGAACTGTTGCGCTTCAATAATAGTAGGTATACCACTTATATATTTTTCACTTTGGTACGGCGAAAATTGTTTATCATTTTAGCGCAAACCAAAAATTATTATTCGAATGTGATGATTTATATATGACTATACATTTTAAAACTATGAACTTCTTAATTTGAGTACACGAAATTATAATAAAACTAATATTGTATCGTTCGAAATAACTTTAAATTCTTATAAAGTTATAAGTAAACGACCAAAATTGTTGAATCGAGAAGTAAATTAGACAATTTATATCATTTTCCATTATTTGAGCAATTAGATGTTACGCCTTACCGATATTGCCACCAGTTTCGTATAGAAAATGTGTCCGAGTGGCCATATCAGGATCAGCAGTCGTTAACAAGCACGACAAGTTTCCATTGGGAGCAAGTTCAGTTAATGCCCTTGACTTGAGGTCCTTGCGGCCAGGTTTAGCCATGTGCCCGTTTTTTGTCACCGTTTGCTTAGCAGCTTCTTCCACAATCCTTCAAAATCATATTAAATTAGTTATAGGTACGTGACAAATAATATATTATATATCTGATGATAAGATAATAATATAATGGCTAATGAAATATACTTACTTAAGTATTACTTCGCCGACTGTGGTGGAATCAGATAAGAACAATGGTATACCGGAAATCCGAAACTGTGGTGCATCAACGCGGACCACGCCGTCTTGGTAATCTACCTCGTTGTTGATTTTTTTGGGGACAATATCTGTTTTCTTTTTTCCAAGGAACCTTCTTACCTGAAATAAATAACGATTGTTAAAATAAAAAAAAATATGTAATAAATTAATAAAAAAAAATTATTATAATTACAGGACCGCCTTTATAGTTTTATTGATAACAACATAAATATAAAGTGTCGAGCAATGTCATATACTCACGGGATTATTGTTTTCTTTCAGTCTGCATTGGTACAGTTCATTGTTGTGTCTAAGCTGGGTCATGAGGTCGGTAGGAACTAGGCATAACTCTTCTATGTGGTTCATAAGAGTTTCGGTTAGACGACAGCTACGGGCAGCCTGGTCCAGATGTGACTGCAAGTCTTTTTTCTCCAAATGCACGGATCTATATAATAGTAATACAAAATATTTGATTATAATTTTTATATTTATAAACTTTGTTTCGTTTGTATCTTACCTAGGGGGGAATAGAGACGGTGCAATGATCATGGCCACGTTATGTTCGGTCATTTTATTCTCCAGGTCGTGTCTTTGCTGGTATTCGACCAGCTTAGACATGAACTGTAAGAGGGCGCGCAATGTGGCCCTGTTCTCTGTAGGTAACAGTAGCACCAATAGGTTTAGCGCCCTTACAGTATCGGGTACAGCTGCAAGTTAAGTACAATATTATGTATACTGGCTTACAACAGTCAAATATATATACCTAGGTGGCTAGGTGTATACATCCCACTCATAGAGCATGCAATCGAGTATGGGTCACTATAGATACTTACAGTAGCTCTGGTAAAACAAATTGACCAGCTCGTGGGTGAGCAATAACCCGGGTAAGTCTCTGAGCAAACGTTTCAGAAAAGCAACTAGATCATGCACGGAACATTTTTCTAACAGCTGATCGGCTTCTTCGTGCTTGGCATAGAAAAACTTCTCCACAGCACAACACAGTTTATCGACTTTCGCTTTAGGGGCTGCCATTCGCAACAGGCCTTGCTCGCCCAATCCACGTTTCTCCAACTGTCCGAGAACCTTCTGGACAATCAAAGGTACTTGAACTCGGCGGTTAGCGATGGCCTCGTCGCGGTCGACTAGCGTTGACAACGAAACACCAAAAATGGTACCTTCTGATATAACAATAACGAACAATGATAAATAACTTAGTAAATTTGTAACGTTTATCTCCGTTCGCATTTTTAATTACCTTCTCTTCTTTTGCGTTTATGTGGTTTTCCTTTATGAAACGGTATACCAGCACTGTCGAACATGGAAGAAAGTTCGAGGAACAGTAGAGGGCGTAGTTTTGCCAAATCTTCGTCGCTGAGAGAGTCCGGCCAAGTCCTCCCAGTGTTTTCGTCGACGGAGGAACAGGATTTCTGTAAATAAAGTAAAAAAATAAACCATCATTTTAACATTAAATATTGTATTTGGAATTTTATTATTTATATATATTTATCATAATGCGTTATATTATGTAGTTTCAAATTTAGTGTACATATTATGATATAATTTATGTACAAACCTCCAATTGGTAATTGTTATTTTGCCACATCTGTTCGAATCCCACGTATTGGGAACCATCCCGGTGATTATCGCTTGGTTCGTATAAACAACCGTGACTGCGGGTCAGGCTGGATTTAGGCACTACTAAATCCATGCTGCATAAACGCAAAAAGAAATCGAACGTTAGTTCGGTTATATAAATAAAAAATAAACGGATTCATCTTACTTAGGAGAACCGACGTGTTCGTCAGAAGAACTTGAGTACAAATGTAGTGGATCGCTACCGCTACGATTTCTGTCTTTGACCATAGGTAAAGGTCGTTGTTCGAATTTGTAGCCACGCACGGTGCCAAGTCTTTGAAAACCAACCATTGTAATACCATCTGTAATGATAATAATCTGATATTATCAAATAATTTTTCAAGCACTTAAAATGTAACTATTACACAGGTAGTTATTAGAGTTTGTAATAAAATAGGTAGGTGTGTATACATATATATTGCAATGCATTTCGGTTTGGAAGTAAAAGCTAAATAAAAGTAGAAATAGAAAAGTGGAGAGATTTTAGTAATTGCCGTTAATAGGTATAGTGGTTGACAAAATTAATCATAACATTATTTTCTTGAGATTTAAATTGAAGTTGAAACATTGAAATTACACGATTGAAGTAATAGTTGTTGTAATAGGCATAAAATTAGATGTACTTAATAGTTAAAATCGTGAAATCATTTATTTTACGATTTGTGTAATATATTATAATAGTTACTCATAATTATAGTTATAGGGGAAATCGAGTAGTGATTATGTATTTATGTGACTACTTGTAGAGTTGTAGATTAGGATTTCTCAAAATACTACTATAAGTAATGGACTTTTACCATATAAATAAATGTAAATCTTAATAATATTAAAATAAGGTAATACAAATAATATTAATACGACAGACTTGTGGAGCCACAATAAGGTACAATATTTTAATTGCATTATAGTTTTAAACAAAAACGCAGCGATGCGAACAATATTATACTAAATTGAATTCACGGGCCGATATTTAAATTGACGAAAAACTCTGTACAGGCGTTTTGATATGATTTTGGAATAACCCTAAGGCAGGTACTTAACCTCATAGGTGGGCCCTACCATAGGAGGGCTATATAATATTTAAGGGAGTTCTTTTCTGAGCTTTTGGAGTTGGTTATTAGGTATCTGAGTCTGAAAATCTTCACGCCTGTCGTCACAATAAATTGTTATTTAGCACTTCGAATTCCGGGACAATTATTGGATAAAAAATATTCGAGTGACATAGTTATTTATACTTGGAACTGCACTTTTTATTCTATACAGTAACGGATATTAATTAACTGTTTAATTGTAATTAATAACAATACAGAATTTTGCTACTCCGATACTGTTTTTGATTTTATTCATTGTTGCTATATACTCGATCGAGTACCAGACGGTTACAAGTTTTTACAACGGTTAAAATAATTATTTTTATCAGTAGGTGCACATTCGAATTACAATATGTTAGTATAATTTGCACCGACTGCACTTTTATTGTTATTAAATTTTATTATATTTAAACATTTTCAAGATTAAGCTTATTGCTTAACCCATTGGTATACACTATACGCTAATAGCCTAATTCATAACTAATAGTTGGCTTCCTGAATGTCTCCCGCAGAATAAAGCACAATACTTTCTATTATATAAGACAACGATAAAATACTCTTACAACGATAAAGGTGTAATCTTATAATTGATCACTTCGATGATAACGTAACACTCAAAATATTACGTATGATATACACACCACTTTCAGAAGCGACGATACCATTATTGCTCCGATTGCTCCTGCGGAATATGTCTCTTGACGGTAGAACTGGCGCGCTGGGCATTCGGCGGACGTCTTTTTTTGAATACACAACCCTCGGTTCGTGATTGGGATCCGTATATCTGGAAAAAATATTAGATATTATATCAACGTATTTTGTGTGTAATAATCCTGTGTGTATTGGATGATAGTACTAGCATTGATTATGAATAGTACAATAATGTTTTGTACGTATAATTTTTATGGAAAAAGTCATACCACTCCCCCCCTGGTAAAACCACCAGTTCTAACACACTATTTTTTAGTAACCAAAACACCATAATTTGATTCCGGGACGATTGGCCTAACCGAAAAGCTCTATATTGGGACAACGGGACGCTAAATAACACTGAAAACCGGAACAGTTCCGGAAAAACTGGGACGCAGTAACCCTATAAGGCCGTGTAAGCACCGACGACTATAATATAATACGTGTGAAGTAATAGATTCGTATCGACCGGTCAAACGTAATAAAAAAAAATGAGTCAGTGTATATCATCGTCCGCATCTTATTGTATTAGGTATTAATGTATTATATGCATTAGTACAGCATGATGAGCGCATGGTTTCATGGTGTTATTATTATATACCGTCATTTTGGTTCCCCGAGGAAACACATATTGTAGATACTACCTGGGGCACGTCATATTTTTAATTACCTACCCACAACAACCTTGACCTATCGAGTGGTGGTCTGGTGTGCTCTGGTTCATTAAATGACATTCAAATAACATATTATTATTATCATAACACTGTAAAAGCATTCCACCCATAATATATTGATATAGCCGGGTACCGAATAAACAGTTTCGCTTTTTATGTCTGTGTGAACTCTGTTAAGTGAACATCTATTATATGTTGCATACCTACGTAGCTGATATAATCATTAAAAACGAAAACGTACTCACAGAAGGATTGTGTTGTGGGTTTGGTTGGTTTTTCGGGCGATAGCTACATAATATTAGATATCATACGAAAAACCTCAGTGTAACACACACACACACACACACACACACACACACACACACACAACAAAATTCCACCGAAAATATAAAACCTATTGTAATAATATACAATATTAAATATATAAAAAAAATCGAGTTCGCTAAAACAAACGAAACAAAACGTGACTAGCTTTCGTTTTGCGGTGGTTAATTCATAAGCTATTGTTTGGTCGTGTCCGTGGCTTATTAATGCCAACCTTGACTGGTGGGAAAATTCAACGCGGAGAGTAAAAATAATAATAATAAATAATATGTACTTATACGCATGGACTACAGCGCGATAGAGAGACCGTTTACGGGAGCGAGCGGGCGCTTAATTACGAGAGTGGAGAGAGAGCCTTGGAACGGCAGGAAACATTACAAATTGTACGAAAAATGATATATTATATTACATTACACTTGCCGACGGAAAAAAAAAATACAGTTAAAATTAAGCCGAGCAACAGTCGTTAATGCACACACTCGGCAGGAGGAAGGAGACGAGGAGTAATATTTAACAACGGAAACCCGTGTATTCCGCGATACGCACTGTTATTATATTATCTTCAACGAAAGCGCATAAAGTCACATGGAAAAGCAAAAGTGCGCATTAGCCTCGTCAATGCATTCATCCGAAAGTGTTTTTACTCGAAAAACATATACGATTTTCACGTCCACCAGTGCGAAGTAATACATGTCTGGTTACCGTATAATATATAGTCGCTACTACACTAATTTTCTTTGTCATTCCAGTGATTTTCAAGAAAAATAATATTATTTTGTCGTGTAAGTAATTGTAAGCCGTTAGGTTCTAGATACGTTTATATTTTATTCCATTTCATTTTCCCAAATAAATATAATTTCGAACTAATTATTAGTACCGCGGCGATTTGATAGGTTTTTAGAAAAGAAAAGAAAAGCGGTCCGACCGCGCTTTGCTGCAGCGCCCCTTAGGAGGTCGTCGCCAGTCACTTCCATAAGTAAATGTATTATTATTTAGTTATTTATCGTTAGTCAACGTCGGTTTATGTATAGAGGTATAATAATATGCAGTAATAATAATAAACGCTCTAAACTGTTTAAGACAATAAATTGGCCACGGTCAGCCACCTCGCGGTCCTCATATATACACGTCGAGATTTATTATGGCTTGTATACGCGTGAACAATTAAAAATAAAAAACAAACAAATTATACCCTCTAGTTGGCTGCAGGGTTCTTGATCTCGTGATTCCCTTGGTTAAGGGGGCAAACTCTATTTCACGAGTGCAATTATTATGCATATTATTACAGTTAAGGTTTGCGGCTAGGAACAATGTTTACAGTTCGAAATGTCCCTGTCAGCTAAGTATACAACAAGCAAGAAAACTGGCCATCACCAAATCTTTCAAATATATCCATGATTATTAATTGTTTGTTGTATGATAATCAACACAAAACATGAATCTAATCGGTGACGTTTTTGATATCGTTTATCGTATTTTAATGTTGGATATTTTTTGATTTAAATAAAATCGAATTACTGAAAAATTGCTCTTTTTAAAATATATTTTATCATTAAAAATATAAAGTTTGTGGTGCTGCACGAGCAATGAATCCATCAGAAGTGGAATAGCCAAAGAGGAGGGGAAACAGCTACCGTACCATCCATAATTGTCGGATGTATAATAAAATAATATATTATATTATAATAAAATTTAAGAGTTCTTGAGAAAACGTTTAAGTTATTAATTTTCGATTCGGCAATCAACAATAGCTGAGGACTTGCCCAACTAGTTTACTAGTCCAGCCCGGCTTTAATAAATATAAACAAACCTGAAAAAATCTTAGAACCATAAATTCTTCAAGTTTTTTAAAAGTACCATATATATGCCTTCAGCTATTGGACTGGAGAGAATAATTATTAAAAAATCAGGGAACTCATTCTGCTGTACAGCATCATATTTCGAGTATACTCACTTATCAGAGTAGGTGTTACTGCTGTTAATGGATGTGTTAAATTTGAATTTTGAAATGCATCTGAGTGGGGACCTATTAACCTATATTTTTAAGGATATTTTATAAATTATTATTAATATTATTTTATATTATGATAAAAACATCAAATAATATTATAACTAACAAGTCGATATCGACGCACAGTAAATATAGGTTAATGGTATAAATAGCTTAAAATAAATACAAATATTTTGAAAATAACATTGTGCTATGTAACTAATAATATGCATATCAGCGAAAAAATTTAAATTTCTGAGAACAATATTTTTTTTTTAATATACCAAACTAAAATCGTTATTTTTCGTTTATCTATTTACAATTTTGATAATATCCAATTGCAGAGACATTCAACTTCAAATGTATATTAAAAAAACTGTGCCTAATGTATTTTTATGTTTCAAAATTTGTGTAAGGGCAATTGAATTCAGTTTTCAGGTCGTGACTCTTGAGTACTTACATAAAATGGTTTGCAAATGTTCACAATTTTTACAAATATTTTCAAAATGTTAACTTGAAACGCTTTAAAAAAAAATGGTACTAGTGTATTTTCGATAGTTTTAAAATCCTATAAGAAAAAAACCATATATGAGGAACTTTGTGTTACATTTTAAAGCTTTTTGACTAAGAAAAAAATTACCCTCCCGGTTACTTCGCGATTCTCGATCAGTAAATTAAGTACGTTTCCAATGTTTAACACGCGAGGCGATAAAACAATTACTTTTGAGTACGATCCGAAATCCGTTCTCGTATATCATATACCGACCATTATCAACAGGTACAAATTTTTTGTATTTACTTTGGTTATAATACTTATAAGTTATAACTCATTGGTACCTATATGACTATATGTATGATACACATAACACGGGTCATATATAGTTGAACGTGTAATCGCAGGTGTACATAAATTAACAGCAGATTATTATACAAAGATACTTAAATACTTTGTACTACAAAGAATAAGTATAGGTATATACAAATACAGTATACATCAGAATCAGATCATATTAAATCTGGGTATTAAAAGATTTTATTTACATATGCGTTTAACTTAATTTTGTATATTTAAATATCGACCTTGAGAAGAATAAACATCAAATATAATTTCATACGTATTTCTGTATTCTCTGTTATATATATTGCGTATAGTATGCTATAGGGGGTAACGGTGGAATATTTTATTCGTATGACTATTATAATGTATAATAAATTACAGTTGAATAGCGACGTTTTCTGGTGGTAAACCAACCACCACATTAGTACTGGCGTTAATATATGTAATAGAAGTCAGAGTACCTATAAGAAAATCAAGGTCACAGAAGGAATATATTACTTTATTTCATAGTGGACTTCAACATTTAAAGATGTAAGATTGGCAGCATTTTGCAGTGTTGTAAAATTTGTACGGGTGATCTTAACTGATATAATGAATGTAGGTGCTTACATTTATATAAATACATACTTACTTATAATAGAAATTGTGAAGGTTTTAATCGATTAACTTTTTACGGTACATAATGTATTCGGGTTATTAACTACAGACGTACCTACATCGTAAAAACTTTATTGATGTCCATGCTATGATCTAATAATCTATTTCTCTTAATCGAGAACCTATCCGATTTGATTCAAATAATAACTAACGCAAGATTATAATACTTATCTAGTTATAGATATGAGATATCTGTTTAAATGATGTCTATTTAATTGTTTGAAATCTCACTTTTAAATTAAGATACATTTTATACAGGAGTTTACCATAATACTCAGAGGCGTACCCTGGACTCTTCATTTGGTGGAGAGGGGGATGGGGGTGGGCTAAAAAAACTAATAGTTTGATATCCGTTACATTACACTAGGTCATTATTACTATATCCCGCAACCCAGTGGCGTATACATATTTTTTGTATGGAAGGGGGGGGGGAGATCAAAGAAATTTAAACCTACGTACATTTACGTTAAAATAATAAATATATTTACAATATTTATTAATATATTTAGGTATACCTAACAGAATATAGGGAATATAATAATATAACATTTTATTTCAAAACGTCAAAACCAAAAGCAATTAAGCCAGGGGGTCATTACTCATTTGAGGTA